GAAATAATTTTGGAGTTTATTAATTCGAAAAATGATAATAATATTATTATTTTTCTTTTAAATTTCTTCACGAATTACGCTTTTGAATTTACTAGTCAAAATTGAACGTACATAGTACGTTATTCTAAAATACTTTATAATTTTTGTAAAAATAATCTTTGATATCAATTTGTTGGAGGAGTTGATAAGTCTCGAACAAATTAAAGAAAATAAAATTTGGTGTAAAAATTTAAGGGAATAAAATTGTACTCAAATTGTACTTTTAAAACTCAATTTCTATGATTAAATTTTTTTGTAATGATGAAATATTATAAATGAACAATCTTTTTATATTACATTTGATACATAAAAATTAACTGTTAATATAGGGGGTATTTGAGCCACATTATTTTGGTAATAATGCATTCTTGAATAGTGTATTGATGGAAAATGTGTGGTTAAAAAATAAAGAAAAGTTTTTGATCTGCGTGATTGAAAAATATGTGATTGAAATGATGTCAAATCACTGTTTAAGAATATATATATATATTTTTTAATAATGTGGCTCAAACACCCCCATATAAATATAAACACCCATTAAAATTTTCAAATACATGAATATGAATAAATTTATCTATAATAATTTTAGACTCATGTAATTCAAGATTCATCAAGTGAAAATTCATTGAATATAGATTAATGTGAATATTAATTAATTGAGAATTAATAATACAAATTTCATAAATGACAATAATCGAACACTATTGAGAAACCAATCAATAAATGATTCTTTTTTGAATCGAGGGAATTGCACGTATAGAAATTCAAAAAAGAATTGATTTGATCCAGGTCATAATCTTTATGGGATTCCCACCAGTCCATTTGTTTCTGAATAGCTTCTTTCAAAACGACTTTTTATAGTATTTATTACATATCGAAAAATGAAAAGTAAAGTATTATTGAAATAATTGAATTATGAGAGAGTTAAACTTGATGTAATATTTCGATATATTAACTATTTACAAACTTCGCATGATATTAACTTTTTTATTTAGATCACACTTGGCGCGTCAATAAGAATGCATGTACATGTACATTGTGCACATCCAAGATGGTACAAATCTATTACTATTATGTTTGGTAAACTACATTTTAACTTTATTCTTCAACCCTATAATCAAATTTACTATATTCTATTAGATTATCATTTTTTTCAAATTTACCTCTATAATCAAAACTTATCCTCATTCAATATGGTCCTAGTCTAAATCAATTAAGCCTAGGGTAAATTACAGTGAAGGCACCCAATCTTTTGGGTTAGCTCGCACTTTTGTCCTCCAACCTTCTTTCTTCGACAAGCCTACCCCCCTCGATTTTAAAATTAAAGGTGGCACTGGTGGCTAGTGTGACAATGGAGGTTGGTGGGATGGTAAGAATATTATTTTCCATTTTAGCTTTTTTTTTTTTTTTTGGGGGGGGGGGGGGTCGGGTTTGGTTTTGGTTTTTTTACTTAAATTAAAATAGGACAATTTTTCTCTTTTTAATTTTCATGTGTGCAGGACACATGGGATGACAAATGGAGGAATTCGATCCATTTGGATGAATCTCATTAATTTTAAAAAGGCTGGGGATGAAAATGAAAATAAACTCAAAGATTGGGAACCTTTCCTGTAGTTTACCCTTAACACTGGCAAATTTTAGTTGAAAATTCAGTATTACATCCTTTATCTTTGACTAATTAAACGAACATGAGGGAAAGTCATCAACTTCGGTAAATTCAACTCTATTAACAGTCATACTTTGATGATAATGACATTGATTAGATTACTCATAAATGTTCTATAATAAATAATTAAGGCCTTGTTTGGGTTTTGATTTTTCAAGTCAAAAAATTATTTTTTTGATCGTTACTTTACATGGTCAGCCATCATTTTTTACTTCTTCATTCACAAATGACACCCATTTTTCTATCTAATTGTAAAAAAAATTAATTCTAAAAATCAGTACCAAACATACCCTAAATATTCAAAAAACCAAATTAGCCTACCAAAATGATGTTTAGCCTCCTAAGCATAAATCAGTAGTTTAAGTGACAGTGAAGCTCACTTTTTATAATTAGTCAAGTAATTGTAATTTTTTAGTTTTTTTTTTTTTTTAAAACTAATTTCTGACAGTAAATTTAGGGATGGTGTACAGTTTACTAATAACGGGAAAAAATTATCAGAAGTGTAACTAATATTCGAATCACAATTTTTTATTTCTTGTACCATATTTTAATTGTATTAAGATTTTTAACTTTCCCCATTATAATATTTAAGTCTCTAACGATTTTTCATGCCATTATTGTCCTTAAATTTTTCATTAGTTAACACATTTTGTATTTAAAAATAATTTTATATTTAAAAATTCGTTGAAATGGCACAAAACAACTCTTTTTTTATGATATTTTAAAAAATTGAATAAATAAAAAGTATGAAAAATATTTTTTCCTTATTTAAAAAATGAAAACAAAATATTTTTATATAAAACATTATTATACTAATTAATGGAAGATTAAAGATGAGAATTCAACGAAAAATGTCAAGAAAATAATTGCTACAATGAACAAAATTTGAGGATCTTAACTACAATTATCAAATAAATTTTTTTTTTTCAAAGTTTGTTTTTTTTTTTTTACTTTTCAGAAGTCCTACCAAATGGATCGTTAGCAAATTTTGATAAAAATTGATAAAATAAGTTATTGAAAAGTAGTAGATTTGTAGATTTCGCCCTCGTTTGGCCATTATTTCTCATTACATTAAATTAAATTTTTCTCTCTCCTACTTTTAACTACACAATCTTCAATAAAATAATAATATACGTAAATCAAAAAAATTTCAACTACTCATTTCTTTAAAAAAAATACTATTCATCTCATTATAATGTCAAATAATGAGGCTCGAACACATCATAAAATATTTGTTAAGAGTTGAAATTTGACAAATTGAAAAGTTGATAAACAAATGATATTTATTGTCTGCCGCTCCTAATTAAAAGAGTTCGACATGACATTCATCGGCATAGGTCTTCACATTTTTCTAAACTCTAAACAAAAAGATTCAAAATTTGTACCCAATTTGTTGTAGCACATGACCATATCTCGAGGTAAGTTAGGCACATTCAAGGGACCTAATATCCACGCTAGCAATGCACATGAAAAGAAGAGAGGCGTGCACTTCAATTGTTTGATCTAAGTTTTTTGTCACATTATTTATGAAAATATAGACATATGGAATATTTATATTCACGAAAGTACTATTTTAAGTATCGATAATTAACTTATTTAAGCACTGATGACATTGTATACCATTTAATTGATAAATCATTTAATACATGGGACCTATCATTAACTTATTCATCAATTAAATGATGTTTCTTGTCGTCGGTGTTTAATATAAACTAAGCACTGATACTTAAGAGATCATTACTATTTATATTTAAGCAAAAATAAAATCTTGTGCCCTTAAATACAAGTTTACAACTAGATTACGAGGGATAATCAAATTTGGTAAAATCCACACAATCAAGTGGGCACGTTGAGGATGGTCATTATGCAAGAAACACATTCACTTTTATTTTTATCGATCAATTTTCTGAAGTACTATGGTTGAAATTATACTTTGTTCTACTGCTTTGTCTAAAGATGTTAAGAAAAGGGCCAATCGAACTGTTGACACATAAAAATTCAGCCCAAATCGAAGAGCCCAAGGAGTAAAGCCCAATTGGAGGATCCCCAAATCAGATAGCCCAAAAAACGAAGTCCAATCGAATTAATCAAGGTGAAGGCCCAAATAATGGGCCCAAGAATGCGATAACGCCATCGCCCAAGTTTGCAAGTCGCCCAGAGTCTGAACGAATAGAGTGTCATACGGTCGCCCAGAGCTGTTATTCTATTCTCGCCCAAACCTTCAAGTCGCTGAAGGTATCAACAGACATAACGCGTCGTGGTTATCAAAAAATGCAGTTATCAAGGCAGTTGTTAAAGCAGCCCTATCACGTTCCACGACTCAAGGAATTCAATCGAAAGCGGTTGATCGATGAAAGGTAATGGCAGCAGTTAAAAGGTAGTTTTCATAATAAAATGGCCACTACGAAAAAAGTGGGTAGTTATAGGACGATCATGCAGTTTTTAGAGCAGTTAATCACAAAGAGATCGTCTATGAAGTATAAAAGGGAGAAAGAACATAGAGGCAAAGGACCGAATCCAAAACTCTCGAACAGAGAATATGTAATTTTCATTTCCTTAGCTTTCAGATTTAAACACTTTTCTTTCTGTAACTCGTGTGCTTGCGCCCCTTGGAGGCACGTTGTTTTTCATTTCCAATTGTAAAGTTCATCGCCAATAAAAGAACACCCATTTTTGGGACTTTGTCTCAAGAGGTTTGTCCCTTACACAATCGTCTGATCCTTTTTAATTGTTAGCGACTTAACCCGCGCGAAACACGAACCCTTTGAAAACCCCTTTAGTAGACAATTTGGTCAGCTAGTCACTCTAATTAATTATGTTTATTTACGTAAATATGTTTTAATTTTTTTCTATAATTTATTAATTACAAAACAGTAAAACATTCATTTCTTATATTCATTTACTACATTACTAAATCAAGAGTTAGGAATTTTATTTCATTAGTACATTTGAATAAGAAAGAAAATTTTAGGTAATGAAATGAAATATTTACAAATACAAAAAGATATCTTTAGTGAAGGAAGGTCTCTCAAACTAAAGCCATTCCTTAATTAAATAATTTATTTCTTTGCACGAAGAATTATTTTCTTAAAATAAAAGAAAATCCATCAAAAGTATACCCTTAAAAGTGCCCTAGAGTCACATCCAAAGTTGGGTTCTTCTACCCGTACAACCGCTAGTTGCGCCATCAATCGCGAATTAATTAATCAACGGTCCATATTTCATTTTATAACGTTAGTATAATTGAAAATGGAATTATTACAGAAAATTAAGGTTAGTGTATAAATATAGTATAAAATCTACCCTTCTTCTCAGAGAATATCAACCTTCGGAAGATACACCATTTTAACACCCACACCACTTCACCTCCCTGTCTCTTTGTCTCTACCTTCTCTGTTCTTGCTGGAAAGGGAGAGAGATGAATTTCAGAATGCTAGAATGTAACTATGAAGATTATTCGTATCTTATTTTCCATACACTATTGTGATTATACATCTTTCTATCGATTACTTTTAATTGGGAGTTCTTTGAAGCTATCATAATCAAACATGGGAGCTAACTCAAAATCATTAGAAAATGTGAAGAATGAAGAAGAAGAAATGGAGGAGGAATCGTCTCCAAGGGGTGTTTTGGAGACACCCACATCAGGTTCGGACTCGGATCATAGCAGCAGCCTGGAGAGAAGCAGCAGCTTTGATAACGAGCAAAAAGGAATTTCAGGAGAACTAGGTTATGGGTCACAATGGAAGAATTTGTTGGGTCAGATAAAGAAGAGGACTTCAATTAAGAAATTTACAACAATTCCATTGTTGGGTGGATATGACCTTTCGAAGAAGAGTTGGAGAGGAAAATTGGGGAGGAATCGTAGTGCAGAAGACACTATTGATTGTGGAGGTTTTGTAGTCCCTAAGCCATCTTGGAGAAATTTTACCTACGAGGAACTCAAACAAGCTACTGATAATTTTAGTCCAGGTAACATAACATCTCTTCTTCAAAACTTCTATTCCATCCTCTGTTTTTCGAAAGACAAGTCTTGAATTTTCTTGATTAGTTCTATAACAACTCACGCATGGAACAACTTTTTGTCTTTTAATTGAATTTTATCTTATTTGATTGAATTCTTTCAAATATACTCTCCTATATACATTCTACCAACAACTTTTTGCATGATAGGAATAAAATCTCAAGCCATTTGATTGGATTTTCCCTATTGCTGACCTTCATAGTAGTCAGTAATTTTCAAATTCAAATCCCACTGCTGAACAAAAATGTATACACACTATTTGTAGATGCACAAATCAATGATATTTATCCACTGTAGAGTACAGTATGCATGTAGAGTTGTGATGCATTTTAATGTATTTGACAATGAGTCGAAATGAAACCGATTACTTAGACCGTCTTAAATGGGGCAAGAACCTTCTACATGTACAGAAGGATTTTTGTCAGAATACATACAGAAAACTCACAGTTCTACGGCCACACACATTTTTGGCATTTTTATACAATATGGGTCCACACACTTGTCTCTATTCTTTCTGTGAAAAAAAAATTTTTGTACACCCAGATTTTTTCATGGGACAGATACCATAATTCAAAGCTGCTGTTGAAGTAGACAGACGCTCACCTGGTTAGTTTGAGTCATTTAATGGGTCCTGTAATTAAGTTCATTAAGTTTTTATGGTTGATATCAAGTTATCAACAACCCCACTGTTAACAGCAAAAGCCTAAAAAGAATTTTTCTTAGTTGATGAAATAGCCTTCTTTTTTGCCCACCAAAAACTTTTGAATGAGGTGGGGACATTCATAGGAGGAAGTGAATAGGACAATTAAATAAATAATATCACTCCTGAATTTATTGATTTTTTTAATAAACTTAGCAAGACTCGGACGAAACCTTAGAATTATGTTTAATATGGAAAATTAAGCAGAATTAAGGAAGAAAAAAAAAGTTAAAACTCGTTTAATGATAATAAACTTGAATATTTTAGATATTTTAGAGGTAGAAAATATAAAAAAAGTTTGGTGGGACGATTTCTTTGACTGATTCCATCATGCGCAGGAAAATGTACAGGAAGCTGGTGGCTGCAGTCAGCGGAAAGCAGTCATTACCTTTGCCATTAGGTTAAAATTTTCCATTTCCACTGACTTTTCTTGGCCTGTCAAGTAATACTCATTGAACTAAAGAAAATTAAGGTGTCAAAATATCTAAAGTAACTTTCTTTAACAATACACGGCCATGTTAGAGAGTTTATGTCGAGTACGTTATTTTAGCATCAAATGCTAATGGATTGGTAGGAATGTCATAATCAAAACACTGTCCGGTTTCAGTAGTTGGGAATTATAAATACTTGGTCCTTAATTTCCCTAAATGCCGCACCTCAAGAATAATTGAGAGGAAGTCAGCCTCAAAGAATTCTAATTTATTATTATTTTTTTCCTATATTAGACTTCAAATTTAACTTGCATGTGGTTTGTAATGATATATACAGAACAAGAGTCACACTTCAATTTGGTTCATGTGTTAGCCAGCTGTTAAAATGGTAACTGTTGTCATGTTTTGTACGGACAAAATAAATGTCAAATAAATTTTTAAGTAACTTTCAGAGTTATTCAACTAATTGCTGATTGAACTTTTAAATTTAATCTTGATAGATAAGTTACTGGGGAAAGGAGGACATGCAGAAGTATACAAAGGGTGCTTATCTGATGGTCAAATTGTGGCTGTTAAGAAGATAACGAAAAAAGAGAAGAACAACGAGGACAGAGTCGGGGACTTCTTGTCCGAGCTTGGGATCATTGCTCATATTGACCACCCGAACGCTGCAAGATTAATTGGTTTCAGTGCGGATAAAGATTTGCACCTTGTCCTCCAATTTTCACCACATGGCAGCCTTGCCACAGTTCTGCATGGTGCTATATATTTCTACCATATTCTTCACTAAGTCTTCCAAATTCTTTAACTTGTTAGACCTCCTGGATTGTCATAGGATCAGTACTTTTGTAGGGCATTTGAATATACTGATTCAAACTGAAACATGAATTTCGAAACTTAATGACTATTGGACTTGAAACTTTATGGTAAGCTAGTTCTAACCTATGAAAAATAATCAGATTAAAACACAGACCAAGAATATGGATTTGACAACGCCTTTAAGTGCAAATGGACCTGGAATTAAACATGTTGAATTCATTATGGTGTTAAACAAAAAAAATCACATGTTATTTCGACTTATGAAGTGAAAATTTGGAATTACAGGTTCCGAGATGATTCTAGAATGGAAAATAAGGTATAAGTTGTTTACTGGGGTAGCTGAAGGATTGCAGTATCTTCATTGTGACTGCCAAAGGCGCATAGTTCACAGAGACATAACGGCCTCAAACATATTACTCTCTGAAGATTACGAAGCCCAGGTTCTTTTACCATGTTTTCCTAGGAGAAAAAGAAAACCTTAATAGGAACAGGATACTATTTTTCACTGTTAATCGGCAATTAGATAAATGGATGTAACTTTCGGTGTTTCGTATGTTATGCAGATATCTGATTTTGGACTAGCAAAGTGGCTTCCGGAAAAATGGGCTCATCATGTTGTTTACCCCATTGAAGGCACTTTTGGGTACAGCAGAGCAACTTCATTTGTGTGCTGCATTTGTTCATTTTACTGTTATGATGCTAATAAATTTTCACTTTGTATGTTAATTGGTATCAGATATATGGCTCCAGAGTATTTCATGCATGGAATAGTTCATGAGAAGACTGATGTATTTGCCTTCGGAGTTTTGCTATTGGAGCTCATAACAGGTCGTCGTGCAGTTGATTCCTGTAGACAAAGCCTCGTGATGTGGGTATGATTTCATCTTCTCTTCTTTCAGTATCCATTCCCCCTGTTTATCATAAGATTGAATTCTAATTTGACTGCCTCCTTGGTAAATGACAGCATTAGTTATTTGTCTATTAATTTTGTCCAGTACTACATACTAAACATGCCCCTAAAGTTTTGCAATCATTGTGTATAGGCAAAACCACTTCTGGAGACGAACAACGTTAAAGAATTGGCAGATCCTAAATTAGGAAACAATTACGATGTTATAGAAATGAAGCGTGCCGTGTTTACAGCTTCAACATGCCTTCATCACTTGCCTGACATGCGTCCCAGTATGAGGAAGGTAAATCTTCATTATCTCTGTCTCTTGTTTCATTTCCACCGAATTAGAAGCTAAGAAACTTTAAACACGGCGAAATTTCCCTATTCTTCAGGTTGTTCAGATATTGCGAGGTGAGAATGAACCATTAGACATGAAACAAAAATCCATGGGAGGGAGAGCGTTGATGCTAGATTCCTGTGACTTGGACGATTATACTTCTACAACTTATCTTAAGGACTTAAATCGTCATATGGAACTAGTCATGGAGTGATCTTTCTCGAATAATGTCTTGAGGTTGCTCAGGATTGGTTTACGTAGCTGCAGTGTGTATATAAAGAAGCTTTGAAATAGTCTGCTTTCTGCCGTGTGCGTTTTTGAAGATGAAACCAGCAGCAGAATCCGTCTTTTTACCATGTTTTCTGTTAAAGTGTTGCTTTATCCAGCATGAAGCGGTAAACACAAATTTGATGCAGACAAAAGAATGGCTGTACTGCAATTCAACAAATATGAAATATAGCCATTGTTCTATGTTTGCTTTTACTTTTTTTGTAAGTTGACTAGGATATTTTTGATACTTCATTGATCAGACTCTTGAAAGAATGTAGTCTGAATCACTGTGTGAATTAAAATGTGGAAAACTTAATTATTGCTAAGTACTACGTAGTCTAAAAAAACGTTGACCACAAGAACACAAGCTAATCCTAAACAAAAACTTGTCTTGTGAGATTATCATTTAATGTCACTAAATCGTCATGTAGATGGGTGTCAAACCTGGTCGTCCTACACATTATTTTAATTAATTGTGTAAAACTTCATATTGCTAAGTGTTATAGTAATAAAAAGAAGTGTCAACCACTAAAACAAACAACCTAATCATAAACAAATATTTGTCTCCTGAAAATATTATTTAATACCACTATTTTGTCATATAGTCATGTAAATACGTGTTAAACAACAATAGTCCCACATAGCTTTATTTTGGTCATTATTTTCTAAATATAACAATAATAAAAATGGTCGACAACAAGAATACACAACCTAATATTTAACAAACCCTCGACTCGTCTTCTAAAATTAACATATAGATGCTATCTAGAGAGCGCCACAACACCAACATGTAAGTTGTAACATTAAGAACTTGTTTGGAGCCAATTTTTGGGGCAAACAAATTGATTTTCTAACCGTTGACAGCCGAAACTTTTGACTGCTCCTCTCACGGGTGGAGCTCACGGTCAAAGATAACAGCTACATTTTTGTTGAAAATTGTTGAAACAGTAGTTCCAAACGAGGGCTAAATGATGTAGGGGATGGATGTCTCATTTTAATGAATCATATAATTTAATGTCGCCTAGATTTGTGTTAAATAATATTACTCTATCATTTAATGCCACTATTATATTGTCATGTAGATGAGTCTTAAACATCGATTCTACATAGCATTAGATTAACTTTATTCTCATCAAATAAAAAAAGAATATCGATTACAAAAACACACAATCTAATCATAAAGAAACACGTGACTTATTTCGTGAAATTATCATTTAATATCACCATATTGTCGAGTGAGTGGAGGTTAGACAGGGATCCCACTAGGCATTATTTTAGAAATGATTAAGAAGAAACCCTTAAGACGGCCATATGATGGATCCGATCCTAACTCCATCAAAGTTGCACATTTGTGAAACCCTGAAATTCCTCTCCAAAAAAATGGGGACAGATGTCTTACTCCAACTGGGCATTATCTT